GGGTGTAAATCTTTACGGGAGTAGAAAGCCTCATCTTTCTCCCGCGGAGCAGCTGGTAGTTTCGAACCGCTGACCTTAAGGTTCGCAGCCCGATTCGTAGCCACTACACTACCAGAGTTCCTTAACACATATAGTTGCCCTGAATCCAAATTGACTGTGGCAGCTGGTTATGACTATTCTGGAAAAGATTCCTGTGAACTGGGATGATTGTCTTCCCCTAAACAGAATAGTTCGACAGCTCTGTGTTTTCTTTGACTACCAAAAAACCAGAATTGTTGGTTGCCCTCAACTAGCATAACTCCCACTAGCCTATGCTTCCAGTGTGTTTATTTTTCCCTGATAAAACGTTTTGTTAATTTTCCTTTAACAGTCCTGTTGCACATATATATGCTTTATATTTAAGTCACCTCTGTTTGGTAACTCCAGATATAAGTGTAACACATGAAAAAAGTCTCCATTGGTCCCTAAAATTATTTCTAATGCTATTCTTTGCTATAGGAAGCTATCAAAATGAGAGAGAAAGGCATCAAGGATAGAAACTAATTATGTCTGGAAGGACATTAGCATCACTTACCTCTAGAAAGGAGTCCTGGTGTGGCGCTGTGAATTAGTGCACTTGACTGCAAAGTCAGTTTCAACCATAAGGTCGGTGGTTCAAGCTTACCATCTGCTCCTCGGAAACCCTGTACAGGGTCACTATGGGTTGGAACCGACTCTACGGCACTTAACAACAACAACAACCTCTTGGAAATATTGGGTAGGGACAGTGGTAAAAAGGAGTTTTCATTATCTCCTACAGGAGTCTGGTATGTCACTGTAGGATAAGTGTTAGACTACTAACCACAAGATTGGTAGTTCAGACCTTCCAGCTGCTCTTCAAAACCTATACAGTGACTTGACTGCACTTAACAGCAGCAACAACAACAAAGGCTGTGGTGGTGGTCGTGGTGATTATGTGCTGTGGAGTTGGTTCTGACTTATAGCGACCCTGTAAGGGGTTTCTGAGGCTATAAATACTTACAGGAGCACAAAGCCTCATCTTTCTTCAGTGGAGGGCTGACAGATTTGAACTGCTGACCTTGAGATTAGCAGCTCACTATCCTAACAGAGGAGTCCTGGTGTGGGTTAATGCACTGTGGGTTAATGCACTGGACTGCAAAGTCAATTTGAACTTCAGGGTTGGTGGTTCAAGCTCACCAGCTGCTCCTCAGAAACCCTATACAGGGTCACTTATGGGTCGGCACTGACTCAGTGGTATTTAACAACAGCAACAAACAAGCCTACTAGAGCTTTTTAATTTTATTTTTAAATTTAAGGTTTTTATTGTGAGTTGAATGAAAGTTTACAGGGCACAGCATCAGTTTCACATTCAACAGTTAATATACCTTGTTTCATTACATTGATTATAATCCCCTCCATATACTATCAGTTAAAAGTATTTATCTCTATCCACTTTAACTGTAAAAAACACACAAACAATAAAACCCACTCAGACATATATAATAAATTACATCTCCAAAGGGCGTATTCTGCAAGTCTGCTCCTGGCCACCAGTTCTTATTCCTTCTCTTAGTTGATGAATCTAGAGTCCTCAGCTGCTCTCCCTCTCCATGCCCCCATCTCTGCCTCCATCTCTGGTGCTGCTGCTTCTCTGGATAAGGTCCCGCATTCTATTTTTTTGTTCTTCTCTTGATGGTCCTAGGGTCCTCTGTTTCTGGACTGTAAGATTATCCACTCCCCCTTTTTTGTTACAAAACTTATACCTTTACAAGTGTGACAGTCGTGATTAGTCATGATAACAGTTATTCACTATTGAATCTTACGAACCTTATTATCCCCATCTCCTTTCACCAGACCCATCTAGACAAGGTGATAGCTATTCAGTGGGGACTCTTTGTTTCCCTGCACAGTCTTAAACTAAGCTCCCTCTTGAAACCTTGTAAGCCAATCACTTCGTGCCTTTATTGGCCCCTCATTTTAGATAGCCAATGTCTAAGTTGCCCGTCCCTATCTACCCTGTGCACAGAGCGGATAGCATTGATACTTGATTTGAAGACTCTTTCTCTCTCTGTTAGCATTTATAGTAACTACCACTCTGAGTATAGGTCAGGTTCATCATGAAGATGTATCTTCTGTCACTGTAGCTGTTCCAGTGTGCTTGTCCTTTCTAGTGGGAATGTCTCACCTCATAAGGTTGTGGATAGGAATCAGGTTTCCACCTAAGGTCCTATACTCTGTAAGGGCTTTGCATTAGGCCTATTTCACTGGGCAAGTTGTAGAACCCCTTTTAGGTATTCCAATCAGTTATAGGCTGAAGGTAGCTTACAAGTTTTCTCTAATCATGTTTCCCAACATTCCTTTCTATCCCACTCAAGTGTCCGTGATCAGGAAATGGGCTTCCCTTTTCACTCTTCTTCCTGAGAAGTTTCAAGATACCACTGTTAGTTGTTTTGACGTAATTTAGGATTTAATTTTCAGCCTATTTCCTCTTTTGTCTGCTTGTCCCGCTCCACAATCCCCGTTAAGTCCTTTTTTTCTAGTTGGAGACAGTTTAGAGCCAGCTGTGGACGTTTGGTTTTAATTGGAAACTGCCTCTTTAAATTTCTAGTAGATCTGTGCACATGCATAGTATAACCGGGACTGAGGTGCCCACTAGCTAAGGCACCCTCTATAGTCACCAGAGTGGTGGTGCACAGACAGCAAGGGACCAATGAACAGCTACTAGAAGAAAATAATGTCGACATCTTTATCTCTGCGGTTCTGCCAGGTGTCTGTGGCTGCTCCGATCCTTCCCCGGCTTGGTCTAACCCAAAATAGTGGCTCCTGGAGTAGCCGAGTGTCCCGGACTAGAAAGCAATAGATTCCTTGCTTCTGTCACAAATTCCCCCAGCTGTAAGCCTTCCAACCTTCTAAATATTCCTTTATATGTGGTTCAGAGTTCTGGGACCATCCCCTGAGCCTGCTTATTTGGGTATTCTGTGTTGTTGGCGGAGCTCTTTACTACACATTCACCAGATCTTCCATCTTGTTTGTTTTCCTACCAGAGCTTTTTAACAAAAGCTGTAGGGAGGTTAAATGCAACAATGTATATAAGTATAAAGGCTATATAGAAATGTAACTATCCCAGTATAAGGTGGTGATTTATTATTATTATTTAGAATTTCACTTTCACATTTTTATAAATGTAAACATTTTGTAAATGGTAACATTGTCATTTAGTGTAGTTACATTTCTCTCTGTATACCACTACAAAAAAAATCTCTTATTGTTGTTATCCATACCCTTTAGACTTAAAACCAGTACTTTTCTACTTGGTTTTTAAACAGTGTGATTTATCGCTGATGAGAATGGGATGACTAAATGTGGTCAGAGTTAACTTTGTTGTTAAGTGCCTTCGATTCGGTTCTGATTTACAGTGACCTTGTATAGAGTTTCCGAGGACCAGCTGATGGGTTTGAACTGCCAACCTTGTGGTTCACATCCAATGCTGATCCTACAGAATCATGCACAAGGTTGGCAGTTCAAACCTACCAGCCCCTTTATGAGAGAAAGATAAGGCTGCCTGCTCCCGTAAAGATTTACAGTCTTAGAAACTGTACATAGGGTTAATATGAACCCGAATTCACTTGACCAAAGTGGTTCTAATGTAGTGACTAAGGAACGCTGGTAGCACAATGCCTAAGTGCTCTGTTGCTAACCTACAAGCAGGTGGAACCTACTAGTGGTTCCCAGGGAGACTGCAGCCTAGGAAAAGCTAGGGCATTTCTACTCTGTCCTGTAGGGATTCTATGAGTCAGAATCAAATCAGTGGCACACAACAGCAACAACAGTGTAGAAACTTGTTTTGACTAAATCTGTTCTGATACTGTTTTACTGCATTTCATTCGTTTCAATAAGTTATTTATTCAAACCTTAGTACTTAGTTGTTTTGCTGTACTTTGTACATTTGCCACTTGAGGGTAGTGTTTCATTGCTCAAATAAATCTGTATTTAACTATAGCATTTGCTAATTTGCTTTCACAATTTCCTATGCTCATGTGAAAAGGACCAAAAAAGTAAAAAGACTAGGAGATGCTTGCTTTAAAATCTTTTTTAAAAAAAATCATTTCATGTCATTTGAGTTGCTGTTAAGTGCAGTAGAGTGGGTTCTGACTTACAGCTAACGTGTATAGGGTTTCTGAGGAGCAACTGGTGGGTTTGAACTGCCAATTTTGTGGTTTAAACTGACCTTGCAGTTCAGTGCTTATTCAACAGTGCCATAACAGGACTTGTCATTTGAGTAATTGTATGGAAATGAACAGTAAATTGAATACAGTATTTTCCCATCCTTAGGAATAATGTAAACCTCTTTGTGTTATTTTGTGTTCTTGTAGTATTTATTTATTTATTTATTTGCTTTTTTTTCTAAAGTTGTTGTTTTTGTATTGCAGTGAATGATTTAGGAGGAAACTTTAAAGGAGATGGTAAAAGCCCCTTAGCTGCTGATAAAGTTGTTGAAGAAATCAGGCGTAAAGGCGGAAAAGCAGTGGCCAACTATGGTATGGAATTTGATAAAATAACTTTTCTTTCAAATTTTTTACTCACATTAATAAAACACTGAGTAAAGATCTTAGCCTTCCAATGTAATATTCTTTTATGAGAACTTTAAAAAACTTTTATAGAGTTTATTTCACAGAATTCTAACTTTTCTATTGCTTAGGTTTTTAAATTAATGAGCACATGATATCAATAACAGTGTATATGTGGATATATGGAGCTCTGGTAGCGTAGTGGTTACGAATTGGTCTGCGAACCGCAAGGTCAGCAGTTTGAAACTACCAGCTGTTCCGTGGGAGAACGATGAGGCTTTCTGCTCCCTTAAGGATTTACAGCCTCGGAAACCCTGTACAGGGTCGCTATGAGTCAGAACCAACTCCACGGCACATAACAACAACAACAAATGTGGATGTAGGTTTTTTTTTAAAGTTTTTATGAAACCTGTTTTAGTTAATAGGTCATTATTTTTACAGAAACATGATGTGTTCTTTTAAAAAATTTTTTTCTAAAAAACAAAAACAAAACACCAACAATTAAAAGATTAAGAAAAAGTATTAAGAAGTGAAATGCCCTTTTTATATCCAGCCTCCATCTACCATTCTGTACAAGTAATCATGTTATAAGGGGGCTTTAAAAATTCATAGAAAAATTCCATTTTTTCAGTGAACTTTTTAACTCCTCATATGAAACTTTCTAATCCTTTTAAAAATGGGAGAATCACCATGTTGTTATTGTTAGTTACTGTCAAGTTTATTCCTACTCTTGGTAACCCCATGTGTGCATATGAAACTGCTTCATTGGGTTTCCAAGGCTATGACCACTCAGAAACAGATTACCAGACCTGACTTCCGAGGTGCTTCTGTCCGAGTTCAAACTGCCAACTTTCAGCTAGTAGCCAAACTTGTAACCATTTATGCCATCTAAGGACTCCAAAGTAGTGTGTTGTTGTTAAGTGCTACCAAGTTGGTTCCAACTCATAGCAATCCTGAGTAGATTTTCTGAGGAGCAGCTAGTGGGTTTGAATCACTGATTTTGTAGTTTACAGTCCAGTGCTTATTCTACAGTGCCACATCAGGACTCCAAAGTCAATATAGTTAGGCATTAAAATAAAGTCAAGAGAAAAACAACAAATACAATCTTTTAATTTGTTGAGCTAATCTTAATAGTATTTTCAAGAAACTTTACCAAACAGATTTACTTTAAAAAATGAGTGATTACTGACATTTTCTGCAAACCAGAATTGTTTTTATTGACCAAAGATAAAATTAGATTGAGAGTGACTTCATTTTGAAATATTAGAAAAAGAAATAGGGTATGATTTGTTTTTACTATTGAATAAATAAATGGCATTTAAAATTTTTTTTTTTTGCACTGGATATCTAGAGAAATGTTAAACAAACAAACAAACAAACAAAAAACTCATATCTGGGGTTTAGAAACCTATTTTATAAAGATAAACATACCAGGTTCTCCACAGTTCTGATATTCAACCTGTGTCAATGAGAGTTCAATCAGGTTTTCCAAGTGTGAAGGCTTTTATAATACAGGGAATTGGAGGCAGTCTCAACTATCAGAACGGCTGGGTGAGCCAAGGTCAGGGAAGCTGTTTTCAAGAACTCACCTGGATATGCCCTCAGTCTCACATCTGCTATCTCTCTGCTCTCGAAATTGCCTGCATCTTAAGGCTTTTCCTACTGTTCTCCTCCTAGTTGAACATCTTTCATTGGCCGACTTAACAAGGACTACAACAGGTCTGGGGAGGAGACACTTTCTGTTTCTTTCCCTGTGATAGCAGACAATAGAAAGAAGCAGTGGTGAGTGATACTGATTTGGTAGCAGACTGTTTGACACACAGTGGCACGAGTGTGAGCTCTTGTCTCTGAGAGTAGCTGATGAGGAGAAAAAAACCAAGCTGTAAGACTGTATTGATCTTTACTTTCTGTAGTTAGCATTGCAAAAACATTAGGGTTAGTTTTCATGTGTAGTTATATAACATTGAACATAGTGTTACAATTTATACATACATCTCCCTACCTGGCCGCAAAAGAAAAAAAACCCCAAAAAACAACAAAAAATGGCACTGACCGTTTCCCTCCCCTTTGGAATAATAGGTGATACTCAGCTATGGGATGTAACTGAGTTGGTGGCATTTAGCAGCAACAACAGCAACATAAATGAAATGAAATTAAGCATTCACTTGGTTTCACTGGCCACATTTCAAGCCCTCAATAGTCACATGTTACTGAACCAAACCGAAACCAGACCCACTGCCATCAGGTTGAATTCCAACTCATAGCGACCCTATGTATAGAAGCATACAGCCTGATTTTTTTTCCCCACAGAGTGGCTGGTTGGTGTGAACTCCCAGCCTTGTGGTTAGTAGCTCAACGCTTACAACAGTGCCATCAGCACATGTGACTAGTGACTACCACATCAGTGCAGAAATACAACAGTTTCATTATTGGTGTTAGTTGCCAATGAGTTGATTTCAATTGATGGTGATGGTTTGGTGCTGTAGGACAAGCAATGGACTGCAAAGTCGCTTTGAACTGCAAATCAACCAGCCACTCCTTGAAAACCCTATACAGGGTGGGGATGAGTTGGAACCGAGTTGACGGCACCTGGTAGCGTAGTGGTTACGAATCGGGCTGCGAACCGGAAGGTCAGCAGTTCAAAACTACCAGCTGCTCCGCGGGAGAAAGATGAGGCGATCTGCTCCCGTAAAGATTTACAGCCTCGGAAACCCTATTCAGGGTCGCTATGGGTCGAAACCGACTCGACGGCACTTAACAACAACAACAACAACAATAACAACAACAACAACAATGTGTATAGAGTAGAACTACTACATGGATTTTCAAGGCAGTGACCTTTTTGGAAGCAGATTATCAGGCCTTTGTTCTGAGCTTCTTCTGGTAGGTTCAAACGACCAACCTTTTTGCTAATAATTGTTCATAAGTGCTGTCGAGTGGGTTCTGACTCACAGTGACCCTGCGTAGGGTTTTCAAGGAGCAACTGGTGGGTTTGAACCAGCCTTCTAGTCCAGTGCTTATGTATCAGTGCCACACCAGGACTCCAATAGTAGAGTGTGTAAATGTTTGTGACCCAGGAGCTCCTTTCATTACAGAAGGTTACATTGGACAATGCTATTTATATAGTTCTAGAAAAATATTTCTTGTCCACGTTTCTCCCTTTTATTCTGTACATTAAATAGTTGTTTTAAGGGCTAAATTTTTTCTGTTATGTTAGACCATCTTTAAAAACATTTTTTTCTTGGGATTGAGTTCTGCTGAATAGTGTCTGTCATGTGTCTGATTGACAGAACTTAGAAGTCATTTGTGAGAGAGGTTACTGACGTTTTGTACTAATTTCCCTTTCCCTCAGATTCTGTGGAAGCAGGAGAGAAGATTGTAAAGACAGCATTGGATGCTTTTGGAAGAATAGGTGATGCTTTTTTGAGTTTCTAGTTCTTAAGAGCAGCTTCCATTTTCTAATAAAATATTGTTGATATTACTGTTATTTATTAAATGAATTGTTCTTTCTTGATAATCAGATTTGTTTTGCAAATTAAGTATTTTACAACCCTACTTTATTTAACAAAGAACTTAAGTAAGGTGCCAGTGTTTATACAGTTTTGTATGTTTTTACATTTGGTTTTATGCACTTTAAGTGCTTTAAAAAACTTGTAAGCATTCCCTCAGTGACCTCAGTGACTTTTTTTTTTTAATGATATCTCAATTATTTTTGTTTACAACTGAAACTCTGGGAATTGAAAATTAACATCCTCTCCTGTGAGCTTCTTATACACACCAGAAAACATTTCAACCTTGTGTTCTACATTGCTGTGCTGTGCTTTGTCCAAATAAACCTTTATAAGCAGGCTGCCATCCAGCTTTATTCGGATTCTCTTGCCCACAATTTCACTTGGGTAGACCAAGTCTTCAAGGATTGCATCATGCACAGCAGTCAGAGTGCGGCTCCTGGGACACTTTTGCTTTTTTTTTAAATGTTTTATTGTGAATTATTTGCTTGTTTTTTGTACGTCTTTTTTGAGTTGGTTTAGGCAGAATTCTGCTCTGAGCAATACAGACCACGTGCTTTCCACTGAACTTTTTCTCCAGTTCACGTACTAGTCGGACTTGGATTTTCCTGGAAGGACTTCAGTTGAGGAACAGAAACAAAGATTATAATAGCTTTACAACCACCACCAAATTCAATTTCCTTAGCTGCAGTTATGTTTGGCTCTCTTAACTGAGCCTTTCGGGTTCATCTCTAGCTCAAGAAAAGCCTGAGAAATACCAGACTCAAATTCATCCGGCTTTTCACCATTGGGCTTCACAGTTGTCGTTCTTGAATTGAACGTGACCTTTTTCTTGTCGAGCGCTGGCCTAAGAAGAGTTAGTGACCTTTTAATAATAATTAGTTAAACCTCAAATGTGCTTGTAAAATAAAAAATAAATCAGTAGTTTGGGAATAGAAGATCCAGTAGATTCTTTTGGATAATTATAATGATTTGTACTAAAAGGTTTCAGTGTCTTACAAATTAATTAACATAATTTGTATGTAAAAAATGTTTTTTAACAAAACTTTTCAAATATTTTTAGTTCATCTTTCTCTAGATAATCTTCCTGGTATAGTTCTGCATACTCTTGTTAAAAGATTATTGAATTAATAGTGAGAAACATTATCATAGATAAATCTAATATGTTTATGGTTTGAAAAAATTAATTTATGTGATTTGAATTGCCTCTTGTATCTTATTTTTGGCTAGCATATGTGCTTTTCCTAATTTTGTTTAGTTGGATTCATGTAAGAAAGGTTTTCACATACCAGCTGACAGAGAGATGGAGGAGACCACATGTATGAAGTTATAGGGTGAAAATAGCAAGATGGTGCTTAAACCTTTAAAAAAATAATTATTTTATTTGCATAGTGAGAATAGAATTATTTATCAGAATAGACTATCCATTTGTAACACTAATGGTTTTCTTTTTGGGTTTATGATCCTTTCAGTGGCAAGGAAAATGTTTTTGAATTTAAATTGCTGAGTAGATTTTGAGATTAAATGAGAGATAGTTAGCCACACAACAACCTAGGGTTGTATATCTGCAAAATTTATAAAGAAGCTGTTAGAATTTTAATAGAAGGTAGAGTTGGGGACAGTTGATATGAGGAAGAAACTAATGTAATGCTTGTGAATCTTTTTTTTTTTTTTTTTTGCCTGTCCTGGTGTGGTGCTGTGGGCTAATCCATAAGAATGCAAAATTGTTTGGAATGCCAGGTTGGTGGTTCAAGCTCACCAGCTGCTCCTTGGAAACCCTATACAAGGTTGCTATGGGCCGGAATCAACTCAATGGCATTGAACAACAGTGTAGTCATAAAATTTTGCTTTGAGAGCACACCTTACCTAGTATATTTACTTTCCCTTAAAAACATGATTTTGAAAGAAATGCAATTATAAGCAAACGTAAATTAATATGCTTACTTTTATGTTTTTGACTTGGATCTCTTTATTGCAGATGTTGTGGTCAACAATGCTGGGTGAGTATTTCTTTTTTCATTTTTAGTAAAGTAATGTGCATGCAAAGTGTATTTCTGTTTTTGTTTTTAATGTATAGTCCCCCCATCTTTTCTTACTATATATAAATTTTTTAGGATTCTGAGGGACCGTTCTTTTGCTAGGACAAGTGATGAAGACTGGGGTAAGTTCTGTGTCTCTGTGGAACACACCTATCCATTTAATCCTCTGTAGTAATTGATAAATTTATACACTTAAACCTTCTATCTGTTAGATATATGTTAATATAATTGCTGCTGAAAATAATGAATACTTGGAAGTAGCCTTTCTTTTTTAAGCATTTGGTAACTAAAAATATTTTAACTCATTTGGCAGAAGTTATTCCAAAAGTATTTTGTCCCATTCAATGTGTTTTTCCCTTTCTATCCTTAAGAGGTTGTCAGTATTCTCTAGCATTGTAACTCCTTTAAAAGGAGTTCTTTTAACCCAGTGCTTAAGCACTCAGCTGCTAACCAAGAGATCCGACCGGTCAAACCCATCAGCATTTAAGTGGAAATAAAGACCTGGAGATCTGATCCCATGAAGATCACAGCCTAGAAAACCCTATGGGGCAGTTCTTCTCTGCCATATAGGGTCACCATGAATCGGAACCCATGGACAGCACACAGCAACAACAATTACAGTAGTGATTAGTAGCTTATTTACCTGAGATTCTTTTTTCTAGAGCAGTAGCAATATATGGTGGTGAGCACGGGATGCCAAAATATATTGGAGATATGACAGCAGGTTGTATCAAAATCAAGTTGTAATTTTGAGACATCTAGTTAACTACAAGGTCAGCAGTTCAAATCTATTAGCTGCTTCCTGGAAACCCTATACAGAGTTGCTGTAAGTCAGAACCAACTCAGTGATACTTAACAGTAGCAAAAGCAACAACAATAAACAGGAAGGGTTTTTATTAGGTTGTCAGATGGGAAAGATTGACTTTAGATAATGAAATTTTGTTTTGTTTTGCTTTTCCTCTTTTCCATCACTTTTATTGGTCCAAAGAATTAAAATGAACAGTGGGGCTGAGGCGATGGTGGCTGTTGACAACTGAGATGAATGTACTATCACTTACGGAGTGTGTGTCCAGGGAATATTGTTAGAAGTTCTTTTGGAAGAACAAAATATAGATATACCTCCTTTTATTGTGTTTCATTTGATTGAACTTTGTAGGCATTGCACTTTTTACACATTGAAGGTTTTTGACAGCCTTGCATTGAGCAAGACTGTTGGTGCCATTTTTCTAACAGCACGTGTCTACTTCTTGTTTCTATCATATTTTGATATTTCTGACAATATTTCAGACTTTTTCCTAATGCTGTTACACACTTAATAGAATACAGATTAGTATAACATAGCTTTTGTGTGTACAGAGAAATTAAAAAACAGCAACAACAAACCCCACGGAGACTCGTTTTATTGCTATAGTTGCTTTATTGCTGTTGTCTGGAACCTAGCCTGCAATATCTCTGAGGTATGCATGCATCTCCACCACTCATCTGCCAGTGTGTTGTACTCTGGTGGCTTGTGTGTTACTGTGATGCTGGAAGCTATGCCACTGATATTTTAAATGTGAGCTGGGTCACCCATGGTAGAAAGGTTTCAGTGGAACTTAATTAAGACCAGTTAATAGCACTATTATTCAACTTTACGTTGTTGTTGTTGTCAGGTGCCATCGAGTCGGAACCGACTCATAGCGACCCCATGCACAGCAGAACGAAACAATGTCCGATCCTGGGCCAACCTCAGTACCGCCGCCACACTTGAGTCCATCAATGATGCCACCTGGCTGATCCATCTCGTTGGGGGTCTTCCTCTTTTTCTCTGACCCTCCACCCTACCCAGCATGACATCCTTCTCCAACGATTGTTTCCTCCGGACAATATGTCCAAAGTAGGAGAGACGAAGCTTAGCCATCCTGGTCTCCAAGGAGCACTCTGACTGCACTTCTTCCAAAACAGGTCTATTGGTTCTTTTGGCAGTCCATGGCACTTTCAGTATTCTCCTCCAACACCACAACTCAAAGGCATCAATTCTTCTACAATCTTCCTTATTCACTGTCCAGCTTTCGCATCCGTATGAGGCTATTGAAAACACAATGGCCTGGGTCAGGCGCACCTTAGTCCTCAAGCTGACATCTTTGCTCTTCAATATTTTAAAAAGTTCCTGTGCAGCAGATTTGCCCAGTGCAATATGTTGTCTGATCTCTTGACTGCTACCACTTAATACCAGTTAATACCACTATTATTCAACTTTACATACCAACCACTAAAGCCAGGGATGATGAAATTGAAGAGTTCTACCAGCTTTTTCAGAAGAAGGAGAGGCGGACTACTTCTGAATAGTTAGTTACTAAAAACCTTCTGACTAGTAGCAGAACAGTGTCAGATATAGTACTGAATGATTAAATCATTGTGGGAGCAGCGGAACAGTGTCAGATATAGTGCCAGATGATGAGCCCCTCAAGTGGGAAGGCACTTAAAATATGACTGTAGAAGAGCTGTCTCCTCAAAGTAAGGTTGACCATGATGACGTGAGTGGAGCAAAGCTTCTGGGACCTTCATTTATTGATGGGGGCACAACTCAAAATGAGAAGAAAAAATGACAAACATCCATTAATATTTAGAACATGTAATGTACGGTTCATGAATCTAGGGAAATTGGAAGTTGTCAAAAATGAAATGGAACACATAAAGATTGATATCCTTGGCATTAGTGAGTTGAAATAGACTGGTATTGCTCATTTTGAATCAGATAATCATATGGCTTATTATGCTGGGAACAACAAATGGAAGTGAAATGACATTGCATTCATTGCCAAAAAGAACATCTCAAGGTCTATCTTGAAGTACAATGCTGTCTGTGATAGGATAATATCCATACGTCTACAAGGAAACCCAGTCAATACCACTATTAGTCAATTTTACATACCTATCACTAAAGCCAGGGATGATGAAAGTGAAGAATTCTACCAACTTCTTCAGTCTGAAATTTATCAAACATGCAATAAAAATGCATTGATAATTACTGATGATTGTAATGTAGAAGTTGGAAGCAGAGGAAGGATCAGTAATTGGAAATTATGGCCATGGTGATAGGAATAATGCTGGAGATTGCATGAACAGAATTTTGAAAAATCAATGACCTATTCATTGCAAATACCTTTTTAAAAAAACATAAAAGGTGACTATAGCCAAATGGGATACACAGGAATCAAACTGACTACTTCTCTGGGAAGAGATGATGGAGAAGCTTAGTATCATCAGCCTAAACAAGGCCAGGGAAGACTGTGGAACAGACTATCAATTTCTCATATGCAAATTCAGGCTGAAATGGAAGAAAATTAAAGCAAGTGCACGAGAGCCAAAATATGACCCTGAATATATCCCTCCTGAATTTAGAGAATATTTCAAGAACGGATTTGAAACATTAGATACTAATGACTGAAGACCATAAGAATTGTGGTATGACATCAAGAACATATATGAAGAAAACAAAAGGTCATTAAAAAGAAGGGAGGTCTTCAATAAAATCAAGGAAATTTTGCAAAAAAAAAAAAAGAAGGGAAAGAAAGAAAAGACAGCAGTGGATGTCAGAAAAGACTCTGAAACTTGCTCTGGAGTGTAGAGGGACTAAAGTGAGTGGAACTAATGAAGTAAAAGAGCTGAACAGTAAATTTCAAATGGCAGTTGAAGAAGACAAAGTATATTAATGAAATGTATAAAGACCTGGAGTTAGAAAACCAAAAAGAGAACATGCTCAGCATTTCTCAGGCTGAGAGAACTGAAGAAATAATTCAGCCGTGGGTTACAATATTGAAGGATTCTATGGGCAAAGTATTGAATGATGTACAAAGCATCAAAAGAAAATGGAAGGAATATACATAGTCACTTTAGCAAAAAATAAATGCAAGATGTTCAATTATTACAATTGGTAGCACATGACCAAGAACTGATGTTTCTGAAGGAAGAAATCCAAGTTGCATTGGTGAAAATAAGGCTTCAGCAATTGATGGAATATGAATTGAAATCATTCAACAAACTGATGCAGCACTGGGGGCACTCACTTATCTATGCCAATAAATTTGGAAGATAGCTACTTGGCCAACTGATTGGAAGAGGTCCATATTTGTGCCCATTCCAAAGGGACGGTGACCTGACAGAATGTGGAAACCATCACACAGTATCACTGATATCACATGCAAGTAAAATTATGCTTTATATAATTCAAAAACAGTTTCAGCAGTACATCTAGAGGAAACTGCCAGCAATGGAAGCCAGATTCAGAAGAGGCTATAAAACTAAGGATATCATTGCCGGAGTCAGGTAGATCTTGGATGAAAGCAGAGAATACCAGAAAGATGTTTACCTGTCCTTTATTGACTATACAAAGACTTTCAACTGCATGAATTTTGACAAACTATGGATAACATCTTGAAGAATGGATATTCCAGACTTTTCAAAACCCAAATTTGTTGTGGTTTATTTCATAGGCAGAATCATGACTGATTTGCAAGTGATTTGCTACATGATCCACTGCCACTCGTCTATTTGACAGAATAGTTCGTGTGCACAATCAATGTTGTCATCAGCCATGGATGTGGATGGGCTAGTGTGAATAATTTTTGACTCATCCCCATCTGTAAAGTTCCTGGAACTTCATAGTAGTTGTGGTTAGGTACCAGTGAATTTACATATACATAAGTTATAATTTAAAGGTACCATTACATTTACATACGTATGGGTTACAATTATTGACTACTTGGCAATTGATTTGGTTTTAATGTTTTGGTATCATAAATTATAGGGCACACTGTTGTTTTGGTATGAACGATTGATTAGTAGCATAATTGGAAGAAAATAAAAAAATAGCTTTCATTTTCAGAGAGGAAGGTGGCAGTAGGTGATTTTTAATGCTTGTTATAAAGTAATATATTTGTGTAAATAAACTATCCTTTATGTTGAGACTACATGTCCCCATTTAATTTTTGGGAAAGGTTACAATAAAAATAATTTCTTGTTTTAGATCTAATCCATAGAGTTCATTTGCGGGGCTCATTTCAAGTGACCCGGGCAGCATGGGATCACATGAAGAAACAGAATTATGGAAGGTAGAGTTAAATATGATTGTCAACAGTAATAAAAATGTTGTATATGTTGGAAAGATGATATTCTAAATGTGCTATGAAATGATTACTGGATGTTGAAAGTATCTTAAGTATGTGAAGGCTTTTTAAATGTAGTCTTGGCATATGCTTTCTAGTAAATTGGTGCTAATCAGTCGTAGTTTAGTTGGACAGTTTTATATTTCTTTTACTTGTACTTTGTATTATTAATGTTCACCCACAGCTCTCTGGGATTTAAAAGAGCAATGCATACATTGTGGATTTGGCTGTGTGCACTTCATTCTCTAACCAGAATGTCATCTTGTGTCTTAAGTGACCAACTGAGGAGAGATGAGTGGCTATTTCCTGCTAGTTTGTACTGGCTAGATATCAGTTAGTCTTTATAAACTGTTTGGAAACTGTAGGACTTCTCATGATTGCATCTACATGATATGGTAGTGCAAGTAAGTGGCTCCATGAACTCTAATGTCTGGTCATTCGTATTAACTAAAGGTCTACACACATCTAAAAACAAAAAACCAAAATCATTGCCGTCCATTTGATTTCAATCTATGGTGACCCCACATGTTTCAAAATAGAAACCACCACAGGGTTTTCATTGGTTGTAGACACTTGGATTACCATGAGTCAGAATTGACTTGATGGCAAATGGTTTGGTTTTTGCCTTAAATTTTATGGAAATAAATAACTAGTTCTTTCTAAATCAGCAACCTTTTACTTGGTAGTTACAAAACCATGTGGAGGCTGTGTTCTGACTTTAAAGGGGAAAGGAGAATCAAACACTATCAGCTCAAGGGTGATTTCTGTGAAATGGAAGTCAAACATATCTCTAACCTACAACCTTCTGTACCCTGTTCTGATAGCAACCATCCCTCCCACAGCACTCTGCTTTACACCTGGGTTTGACAATCCATTGCAATGGCCACACAGAACTCAGAATAGTATGGGGTTTATTAGGGAAGTGAACAGGTTACAATTCAGAATCAAAACCAACTCAGGATGCAGCACTTTTCCGATCAGGAATGCCTCTTCTGTGCTCTACTGCAGACATGCCTCACTCTTGTCTTTGGCTTTTTAGCCATGTGACCCCTTGGCCTCTGCCCATCTTAGGCAAGTGTTACAAAACTCTCTTAGCCAGTCTGTGAATGCCCAAAGAACACATTCTGTAAGCCAGTCTCCTGCCCATAGACACTCAGCTTAACTTAGTCCATGGGCCTAGAGCCTGGAGCTGCTCTTTCTCTACATGCCACTCCCTTTGCTGTGGTCTCTGCTGTTGTTGTCTTTGCTGTTACTGCTATTTGACGTTGCTATTGTTGAGCGCTGTCGAGTAGGTTCCAACCCATAGTTACCCTGTACAGGGTTCCCGAGGCTGTAAATCTTGACGGGAGCAGAAAGCCTCATCTTTCTCCTGCAGAACATCTGGTAGTTTCGAACTGCTGACCTTAAGGTTCACAGTCTGATTCGTAACCACTACTCTACCAGAGCTCCTTGCTATTTGAGGTAGGGCTGTCAAACCACTCACGTTCTTTCGTTTTGATGGTTATAAGATTGTCTATTTCTGTTTATGAGATGGGTACTTTTAAACGTACTTGGATTGCAAAACTAACCAATCCCAGTCTTTACTGTTATTTTCATGGTCTCATCCAATCACTTGGTGGGAATTAAGACATTGGATAGAAAGGCCGTATCAAGTAAATTCAAGGTACCACAATAGTCAAGAGTAAACTGTTTCCACCTCTCAGGAACTCAGACACAACTACTCAAAACAATTATTTTTATTACCTGTTCTTATTGGAAATTTGAAGCTTATCCTGATTCTGAACATTTTTGTAAGTTAATGGTAGGACTTATTTAACTTGGTTAAAGTAGAGTGGGTGAGGCATTGTTTTAATATGAGACGTTTAATACTTCTTCAGAAAGGGAGAGGTTTCTTAAAGTGATATGGCCTGAAAATAATAATTTATCTAATTTTTAGATAAATTAGTTTTATCTAATAATTTTTTGCTAAAGCTTTATGTTATGTGACACTCACTTATTTTATACTTGTAAACACTTATTGTTGGTTTTAATAAATAATGTGTATGCATTCCTAGATTTAAGTTAATTTTATCCTGTCCAAGGTTTTTCAAAACAATTAAATTTAATAGATGAATTTGGAGATACCACTTTTGAATTAATATTTTAGATATGTGAATCATAACTGTAAAATGCTAGTGACTATAAACAGAGTTGCATTTGACAGGTGTAATAGTACCAAAAAGAGGGAGAGAAAGAGTTGCAGTGTTAGCAGAACATAGAAAAGACAATGTTGAGAGATCGATTTTCCTTTTTAGAATCGTTATGACATCATCAGCTTCAGGAATATATGGCAACTTTGGCCAGGCAAATTATAGTGCTGCAAAGCTGGGTCTTCTGGGCCTATCAAATACTCTTGCAATTGAAGGCAGAAAAAGCAACATTCATTGCAACACTATTGCCCCTACTGCTGGATCACGAATGACTAAGACTGTTTTGCCAGAAGGTAAGTAATTTAAGATTTTTCAGTACTGATAGCTTGCCAATTGGTGTAGAGCTAACTTTGCAAAACTGTTTCATTTTCTGAATACATGAAACAATTATTTTCTCTACCATATCAAAAACATTATATGCATATAATGTTTTTGTAATCAGTGCTTCATTTTGCAATGCTCATTGTGTAAAATAAAAGGCACAAAGGAAAAATAAAAATGACCCATAATTCTATGACACTGAATTCAACTTTCATTATTTTTCTCTGCATTGTTGTTGTTGTTAGGTGCCATTGAGTCGAGTTGGTACTGACTCATAGCGACCCTATGTACAAAAGAACGGAACACTGCCTGGTCATGGGGCAGCCTCACAATTGTTGCCACGCTTGAGCCCATTGATGCTGCAATTTTGCCAATCCATCTCGCTGGAGGTCTTCTTCTTTTTCTCTGACCTTCCACCTTACCAAACATGATATCCTTCTCCAGTGACTGGTCCCTTCTGACAATATGTACGAAGTAGGAGAGACAAAGTTTGGCCATCCTGACCTCCAAGGAGCACTCTGGCTGCACTTCTTCCAAAATGGATCTATTAGTTCTTTTGGCAGCCCATGGCACTTTCAGTATTCTCTTCCAACACCATACCGAAGGCTGTGGTCTTTGATCTTCATCAGTAAATGTTTTAAGTCCTCTTTACTTTCAGCAAGCAAGGTTGTATCATCTGCATATAACAGGTTGTTAACGAGTCTTTCTCCAATCCTGATGCCACGTTTTCCTTCATAGAACTCAGCTTCTCGGATTATTTGATCAGCATACAGGTTGAATAAATATGGTGAAATAATACAACCTTGTTGCACATCTTTCACCTTTCTTAATTTTAAACCATTCAGTGTTCTCATGTTCTGTTCAAACAACTGCCTCTTGGTCCATGTACAGATTTCTTATAAGCACAATCAAGTGTTCTGGAATATGCATATTTTGCAATATTGTCCATAACTTGTCATGACCCACACAATTGAAAGCCTTTGTGTAGTCAGTAAAGCACAGTTAAACATCGTTCTGATATTCTCTGCTTTCAGCCAAGATCCATTGCACATCAGCAATGATATGACTCGTTCCACAGCCTCTTCTGAATCTGGCTAGAACCTCTGGAAGCTCTCTTTCAATGTATGATTGCAGCTGTTTCTGTATTACCTTTAGTAAAACTTTATTTGCATGGGATATCAAAGAGATTGTCCAATGATTTCCGCATTCCATTGGGTCACCTCTCTTTGGAATGGGCACAAATACCGATCTCTTCCAATCAGTTGGCCAGATAGCTGTCTTCCAAATTTCTTGGCAGAGATGAGTGAGTACTTCCAGTGCTGCCTCATTTTCTTGAAAAATTTCAATTTTGATTCCATCAATTCCTGGTGCCTTGTTCTTTGCCAATTCCTTCAGTGCACCTCGGACTTCCACCCTAAGTATCAATGGCTCTTGATCGTATGCTACCTCTTGAAATGGTTGAACATGAGCCATTTCCTTTTGGTACAGTGACTCTGTATTCCTTCTATCTTCTTTGGATGCTTTCTGCATCATTCAATAATTTTCCCAGAGAATCCTTCAATGATGAAAGTCGAGGCCTGAATTTTTTCTTCAGTTCCCCCAGCTTGAGAAATGCTGAGCGTGTTCTTCCTTTTTGGTTTTCTGACTCCAGATCTTTGCACCTTTTGTTGTAATATTTGGCTTTATCTTCTTGAGCTGATCTTTGAAATTTTCTGTTCCGCTCTTGTACCTCCTCATTTCTTCCATTTGCTTTAGCATCTCTATGCTGGAGAGCTCAATGTCTCTTCTGACATCCATTTTGACCTTTTCCTTCTTTCTTGTCTTCTTAAATATGCCTGCACTATTATACTCTTCATCTGTGTCTAATTTAATATTAAATACTCCTTTATATTTTTGCTTTCAAGAATCCTCCCCTCCCCTTCTGTCAGATTTATTCTGCCTGTTTATTCTTGATAGTCTCATGGTGCTTGATTGAATACAATCACAATGCTTGTGATTGCAATGTGTGATTCTCTTTGTAATATGTTTTATAATTCCAACATCTCTAGTCCATTGTAGTCTAAATCTACAGTTTCTTTTTGATCATATTTACAGTACTTTGGAGCTGTTATTTAAGTGATCTTTGTGATTTTATCATGTTAACATCACATTGTATTCTATAATTTCCTAATTAAATTATGTGTTTATTTGTTCCTTTATAGATTATGAATTATAGTTTCCAATTGTGTGTCATTTGAACCTTAGAACAACTAGGTGAAATAGGCAGGGAAAGCATTTAAATCAGCATTTACTGGTGAAGAAAACAGGTCCAGAGGAGTTGAGTGTGTTGCTCAAGATCCTAAGTTGTGTATGTGTCATGGCTAACATTAAAATCTAGATTTTTATGCTAAATCTGTAATTCTGTTCTGCTCTTTCCAACTGCTTATAGAGTGCATGCAGTAGGAAAATATTTTCCACAGTGTTTCATCAGTGATACTTTCCAGATCCAATTCACATTCTCTTACTGCCAGTTTTATAGCTTCTTGCCAGCCATCTGACAGTAAAGTAGTTTGGAAATGAATGATACCTATCTGACTCTGGATTCTTTAGAGGAGCAAAACCAGTGAGCCATATATATGTGTGTCAAGTGTCAGGCTGGAGGCTTCTCCTGACAAATTTGGTTGTAGGGGCTGATGAATCCAAAGTCAGTAATTCAGACAGCAGGTTGCTGACTCGTTTCCCAAGAACCAGAGGTCAGTGGATGATGAGTTAGATGCAGGATCTAGATAAAGTGAGCTTTGCCAGAACTTTCATATATATTGGATATAGGCCACCCCACCAAGGAAACTGGTTTAGCTTTCAGCTGATTGGCTTTTTAACTGATTGACTTTTCAAGCGTTTGGCTACTCACACCAGACCACAAATGATATTATATTACATTTGGAAGAGCAACCAGGCCAATGTCTGCCAAATCACTGAGAATGATAGCCTTGCCAAGTTGGCACATAGCAGTAATCAGCACAGAATTATGTACATATTATGTATAGCTTTGCTTATCAGTCTTTGATTAGACAGGTATAATGCGTCATCTCCTAAATAGTATGTTACTTATTTCAGAAAAGTGTGTCTGTCTGATGCCTCCAAGTTTAGAAGCTTGAGAGAACTTCAGCAGTGTGTCCATTGGGGTGAAGTTCTTCCATAAACTTTGAATGTTAAACTTGTTTTATATATCTGTATTATTTTGTCATTGCTTATTTTAAAAATCTCTCAGTTACCTATAATTTATAAGTAAAACTTAAGTAAAATGATTGATTAAATATTTATATGTTGTCTTATAAACTTTTTTTTTCCCCCCGGTTATATATTTCAGATGTTCTAGAAGCTCTGAAGCCAGATTATGTGGCACCCTTGGTCCTTTGGCTTTGCCACGAGAGTTGTGAGGAAAATGGTGGCTTGTTTGAGGTATTCTGAAGCTTCCTAGTTTCTTCCCAAAGCAATATTTGTATAACTAAATGTAAAAAATGATTAAAATTAGTAGTTTTCCATTATATATATCTGTAAAAATCTGCATCAGTTTCACATCACTTAAACGTTATATGTTTTTTAATTTATATATATGTGTGTGTTTATATAATATACATATATATGTATGTATGTATATATGTATATGTATAGTTATATATATACATGTGTGTGTGTATTTTAAGGAACAAATGTTACCTGATGTCTTTTTTGAGAAAGTAACAGAAATTTTATAAGTTCTGCTTTTCCTTAGCTTTTCATTTCTAAAATTCTTACCAAATGATAACATGACTTATTTAATATGTTTGGTCAAAGGTAGAAAGTTTTACTTAGTTTAAGAAACTACATGGTCAAATGAAAAGACAAAATATGAGATTTAAAACCATCTGGCCAGGACTTGAATTGTTCTTTGAATTGTGTACTGCTAGGATATTGTACAAATAAACCTCTGAGCTTAAAATTTCCTTGGGAGTTGTTGTGATAAAGTAGAAGTCATATTTGTAAACCCCTAGCATAGGGCCTATGACATAGCAGTCACCATCAATTTTAATGACTATATTACTGTAATCTTTACAGAGCAGGGAAGATTAACAGCGTCTGAAGCTCAAAATTTGCCCAGACCCTCATTTATTAAGGAATATTTTAAAAGCAATTTATATATTACAATGATTATTGTTGTTGTTACACACAGTTGAGTTAGTTCTGATACATACTAATTCTGTAAGCAAAAGTTAATATGTACTCTAGAAAATTTTAAAAATAAAGGAAAACATATAGAAGAAAATAGAAGTTGTGTATATTCCTACCATTCAGATGAAACTACTGTTAATATTTTTATTTATTACATTCTTTGATGTGAAGTATACATTAGTAGTAATTTTTTAAAATATGCTTTTTATACACACACATAAATACAAGTAAGATCATGCTATAGATGAAATTCTGTATTTGCTATTTTAATTTATCATGAACAGATTTAATGAGGAGTCATTTGGCATTTAAGATCAATAACATTTAGTAAGAGTTGTGTGTAATACATTAAACATTGCAAATAACTTGCTTCTTTGTTTACAACGTTCTGATAGATATCTAAATTGGCAGTTACAGTTTATTGACTTAGCTGGAGCCCTTGCTTCTCCACTACTCGTCTGTTCGTTTGTCATACTGTGGTGTCTTGCATGTTGCTTTGATGCTGGAGGTTGTACCATCGGTGTTTCAAGTATTAGTAGGGTTACTCATGGTGGGCATGTTTCAGCAGAGCTTCTAGTGCCTGAGAGGAGCTTATAGTTTGTTTCTATACTCCAAAATAATTATTAAACTGGCCTTGATTTCATTACTCTGACTTCATTAAAAGTAATTATTGGATCTATTATCAAAGATAAAGGCATATTAATGTAAAGCTAAAGGGTAATAAAAAGCCATATAAGATATATGTTCTCTCCTGATACATTTTCTTCTGTAATTGGTATGTGGATTTTTTTTTAACCCTTTTAGTATGAGTCAAATGAAGGTTTACAAAGCAAATCACCTTTCTATTCAATAATTTATACACATCTTTTTTCATGTAATTAATTGCAATGTAATATCACTTACTCCTTTCCTTCCTGTTTTTCTTGTTTCTGTTCTTCCTTCTTTCCTAACCCTACTTGCCTCCTGAAATTTGTCCTTGCAAATGCTGTCCTTTTGAATTCAAATGGCTAATTATTCTAAGGAGTGCTTACCTCCCTAGTGTTACTGTACACCTCATAGACCTATCTGTTGTTTGATGGAAGATGAGCCACCAGAATGAGTTCTGTTCTAGGTCTAAAGGGTGACTAAGGGCCATAGTCTCAGGAGTTCTACTAGTTTTTTTCTGACTAGTAAGCATGGAATTCTTCTGGTAAGTTCTGGCATACTGTAGTTGTACTGTTGGAAGATATGACAGATTTTATTTCTATTAGACATTTTCTTCTGAGAATTTTTTCAAATAACCTCAAGAAGAAATTGCAGAGATCACAAATTTATCTTTCTGGATGGCATATCATTTGCCTTGTTTTTCATTAAATGACTAAGTAAGATTCTGGTTTTATTTGGCTTTGATGCCTTTTTATTCAATAAATTTTTCTAGAGGGACATTTGTTTTGAAGTCGTGACATGCTAGGCAATTTTATTATGTATATTGGTTCACCTTCAAAGTAACCTCATGGAATGTATATACTGTCCATCATAATTTACAGTTGAGGAGACTTTTGTTTTGAGAAGTTAAATAATTTGACCAGGGTCACACAGCCAGTAAGTGGTGTCACTGCTTCTCTGGATAAGGTCCTGCATTCTGCTTGTGCTCATCTCGTTTGCGATCATCTCTTTTGTTGCCACTTTTCTTGTTAGGATCCATTGCTCCTCTCATGCTCTTCCCTCTTCATGGTCCTAGGGTCCTCTGTTCCTGAAATGACAGATTAGCTGCTCCCCCCTTTTGATTATACCTCTTCTACATTTACAGCTGTGACAATTGCTGTTAGACCTGATGACAATTGCTTACTATTGAATCATAAAATCCTGTGTCCCTCATCACCAGACTCATCTGGACAAGAGGATGAGTAAGGTTTCTGTCTTACTCCCCTTGTTCTGACACTAAGCACCCTCATGAAAGGTTGTAAGCCAGCCACTTCATGCTTTTATAGCCTCCCAATTTTGATAGCTGAAGTCTAAGTTGCTCATCCCTATCAACCCTATTTAATCTTTGATATGAAGAATTCTTCCCTGTTTGGTTGGAATTTTGGGCAGCTTTATCCATAAGTAAAGGTCCAGTTGATCAAGTTGTAGCAGTTTATGCTTGCTCCCTGTACCATACTTCTTTATCTTCATCTAGTTGAATTCTGGTTGGTAACCCATCCTAGGTCAAATGGGTACTGTCTGCACGTTTGGGAGTTCTTGCACTCTTCCCCCTCTTCAGACTATCTGCTTTACTCTTAACTCTAGCAAGGCTAGGTCAGTGTCCTTGGGCTCAGGAGTTCGCACGTCTCCCTGAACTTCAAACCAGCCAGCTCATCTTCTTTTCTCTCTCATCTCAAGGTCATCGGATGTCTTTGGAATGTGGCCAGTCTCAGCCCATGTCTTATTTGAGGCATTTTCCCCACTTGCACTCACAAGCTGACCAGAGAATTGTGCTTTTAAAATACATATGTTTTACTACATTATGCAACTTTGTGTTTTCACATAGATAATATGAACAATGCGAGGTCAAGGGGGCTAATTGTAAAAATAAAGGACTTTTGTGGAGCTACATTGTTTTCATTCATTGTCATCTAACTTCCTAATACTCCTAGTGAGATGTTGTTGTTAGGTGCCATTGAGACATTACTGGCTCATAGCGACCTTATGCACAGCAGAACAAAACACTGCCTGATCCTGGGCCAGTCTCACTACTGTTGCTACACTTGAGTCCATCCATGCTGCCACTGGTCAGTCCATCTCATTGGGGGTCTTCCTCTTTTTCTCTGACCCTCCACCTTACCAAATATGATGTTCTTCTCCAGTGACTTGTCCCTCCTGACAATATGTCCAAAGTATGAGATGAAGTTTATCCATCTTAGCCTCTGAGGAGCACTCTGGCTGCACTTCTTCCAAAACGGATCTATTGGTTCATTTGGCAGCCCATGGCACTTTCAATATTTTCCTCCCAACACTGTAACTCAAAGGCATCAATTTTTCTATGGTCTTCCTTATTCACTGTCCAGCTTTCGCATACACATGAGGTTATTGAAAATACCATGGCTTGGGTCAGGCACACCTTAGTCCTCAAGCTGACATCTTTGCTCTTCAACACTTTAAAAAGGTCTCATGCAGCAGATTTGCCTAATGCAATACGTCATTTGATTTCTTGACTGCTGCTTCCATGTGTGTTGATAGTTGATCCAAGAAGAGTGAAGTCCTTGACAACTTCAGTCTTTTCTCCATTGATAAGAATGTTGTTTATTGATCCAGTGGTGAGGATTTTTGTTTTCTTTACATTGAGATGCATTCCATACTGAAGGCTTTGATCTTCATCATTAGATATTTTAAGTCACTTTCAGCAAGCAAGGTTGTATCATCTGCATATCGCAGGTTGTTAATAAGTCTTCTTCCAATCCCGATGCCATGTTTTTCTTCGTATAACCCAGCTTCTTGGATATTTGCTCGGCATACAGTTTGAATAAATATGGTGAAAGAATACAACAACCCTGTTGCACACCTTTAATTTTAAACCATTCAGTGTTCCCATGTTCTGTTCAAACAACTGATAATATAATTTCTTCTCTCTTTCTTTTTTCTAGGTGGGAGCAGGATGGATTGGAAAATGTAAGTTACTCAGTTTTTGCTTTTTCATAGATTATTTTAATTTCTTTAAATTTACTTATGAGGTCAGAGTTTAGTAAGGATCTTGTTAAATGCCTAATCACTTGATTCAGTGCATACATTTTTGTTGTTTTTGTTGAGTTGGTTCTCACTTACAGCAACTTTTTATAGGGTTCCCAAATAGCTGCTGGTGGGTTTGAATCCCTGACATTGTGGCTAGCAGTCCATTGCTTATTCTACAATGCCATAACAGGACTACAAACTGCTCATGTTGTTGTTGTGTGCCATTGAGTCAGTTCTGACCCATAGCGACCATGCATAGGGTCTCCAAGCAGCGGCTGGTGAGCTTGAACTGCCAACCTTGTAGTTCAAACTGATTTTGTAGTTCAGTGCATTAACCCACCGCACCACACCAGACTCCAAATGTCCCATTGTTGTTGTTGTTATGTGCTGTGGAGTTGATTCCAATTCATAGCAACCTGTATAGGGTTTCTGAGGCTGTAAATCTTTACAGGAGCAGAAAGCCTCATCTTTCTCCCTCGGAACAGCTGGTAGTTTCAAACTACTGACCCTGAGGTTAGCAGCCCAACTACGCTACCAGAGTTCCTAAAATGTCTCATAGTAGTCAGGAAATAAGAGATAGCGTAGAAGTCATGTTCTTCAAGTCCTTCATGTGATTCTGTTCTTACTTGGAATATGAGATAGATACAGGAGACAGTGGGGCATCACATTAAACAACTTTCTGGGATACAAATTACAGCTGCTCTTTGGAAATTATTTCCACGTGATGTAAGAGTAAATTTATTTAGCATCAGCTCCTTTCTACCCCATATCTCAAATCTTATGAACTCCAAATTTGATCATTGTTTTTGGTACTTAAAAAAAAAAAAAATTGTGGCACTTCAAATCTCATCCTATTTCTTATTTTCAGTACTTGGCTGCTGGTATAAAAATTGATTGTATAGTTATTTAAAAGTCTGCCATCACTGAAAGTTATTTTTATATGATTATTATTGAATAGCATCATTATATTTAGCATTAATGGCCAGTCACCCCAGTTGTTAATGTAATTTATGTTTGTTAGGGATCTTTGAGTGTCTTTTGACATCCACTTAAAGAAAGGAAGATCAAGTATTGCAATAAAGGCTGTATACGTTACTTTATAAATAGAAAAACTCTAGAAGCAGGCATTTTGTCATTCCCCAAAACACATTTTCAATTTAATAATCATCAAACCACTATATTTAAATAAGATCATTAGTGTTGTTAGTAGGTGCCACTGAGTGGGTTCTGACTCATAGGATCCCCAGGTACAAAAGTTACTTTTGTTATTCTTAAGTGCCATTGAACTGGTCCCGAATCATAGCGACCCTGTATAGGGTTACTGTGTAGTGGCTGGTGAGTTTGAACCACTGACCTTGCATTTGTTCAAATCGTACTTAAGGTGCAGTGCTTTTCCTACAATGCTACCCCAGGACTTCAATGGTTATTAGTAGGGTTATTTATTTTTCTGGTTTTTAAAAGGAAAGTAGTCTAAACTTTTTCTTCTTAGGACTTGGTGAATCTGTGCATTCTGGTTGACTTCCTTTGGAAATGGAGGAAGAACAACAGGGCTACCTGCTATACTAACATTTTATTAACTGAAATCTTTAACCTATTATCATGCTTCGTCCTTTGTGTTTTAACCAAACTTTGTTCTATCTTAAATTTTATCGATGAGGAGAGGGAAATATTCTACTTGAGTATTTGTGATCATTACGTCAGTCTTTTGGTGTGATTTTATGTAATTAAATTTTTTGTGGTTCTGTGTATCTTTCTACCATTAATAATATATGGCATAGTCAGAGGTTTGGGGCTCTGGTGGGGTGCTGTAGGATAAGCACTGGATTGTTGACCATTTGGGAAAACCAGCTGTTCCTGGAAAAACCTATATAGGGTCACTGTGATTTGGAAGTAATACGTTGGCATTTAGCAACAAAAACAATAGTTAGAGGATAATTTTTTTCCCTTCAGGTTCTCAGATACTTTTTTTATCCTAATGGTATAATAATTATTTTAGGAACAATTCATTTTAAAGCATGTAGTAAAACTCATTAAATTTAGAATCTTCCTTTTTAAATTCCCATTTTTTTCTTGAAGTTAGAAGAATTCAAAGGGCTCTTATTCATTTCTTTTCTATTTCATCTTAAATTATGAGCTAATACATTGATTTTGTATCTGTATTCAGTGCGCTGGGAGCGGACCCTGGGAGCTATTGTCAGGCAGAAGAATCAGCCAATGACTCCTGAGGCAGTAAAGGCTAACTGGGGGAAGATCTGTGACTTTGATAATGCCAGCAGGCCTCAGAGTATACAAGGTAAAAAGAGTTTCAAGTCAGTTCAGCCTGGTTTGAGAATCTGAAGCACAAATATTCTCTTATGTTATAGTGCTATTTTCTGTTTTAATTGTGGTGATTTACACACTTGAATCATCCACAGCATATTTTTGGACTCTTAAAATTGAAGATATTTATACCATTACCATTCCTACTGTCAAGTTTTTTGCCTTTTTTTTTTTTTTTTTTTTGAGTGTGTGTGTATGCATAGTTGGGAGCCTGAAGTGTTTTCTCATCTGTGTTTTGTACCTGATCCCCATTGATGGTTGTTTTCAAAGTCTTCCATAACCTCCTTAAATGACCTAATTTTTCTCCATTTCTCGAACACTGATTTAAATCTTTTATTTAGGCTCAGTGATTTTCTACTTAGTGAGTAGATTTTTCTTTGTTTTAGATGTAATGTCTTTACTACTATTTCTCTACCTTTCTAAGCCACCCTTTCCTTTTTGTGTCACCTCTGCTAATCTTAGTGGTTCTTTAGGAAACTCAAGACCCGGATGTTCAACAAAATGTCCCAAGATATTTTGGGCTAAATTGCTTTCTCTCTTAGCTGAATTTCTACCACTTGAGCATTCAATTGTCACTGATGTTGACTGTTTTTAGTTAGTAAGTGTATGGTTTCTTAATTGCTTTGCAACTTCATTTTGAGAAGTTGCAGACTTTATTTTGTATGTAATTTTTAGTATCTGGTAGTAGCATAGTAGTAGCATAGTGCTAGACTCATAGCAAGAATTTGATAATTACTTGTTTAATTGAATTATTGATTCATCCACCATCCATAGGAATAGATAACCAAATAGTTACATTATTTTTTCTAGTATAACTTATATATACATGTGATACATGAAAAAGTTAAAAGATGTTTTCTGAAAAAAAACAAAACAAAACATGAATCAGGGTCATTTTGTAGAAAAAACTTATTTGTTTTCCCTTTTATTAATTTTATATTCAAAGTTGGCTAGAGACTATATCTGAAACATGACTATTACTTTTATTCCCTTTATTTACGCTTAACTTTTTGTTGGTGTACTCAGTGAAATTTTCATTATGCCTTTTTCAATCACATGATAACATGAGTTTTATATCATAAATGGTAACATTTCTGCATTTATATTTCAATGGTGTTGTTGTTAAGTGCCGTCGAGTCGGTTCTGACCCATAGCTAGCCTGTAAAGAGTTTCTGAGGAGCAGCTGGTGAGTTTGAAGTGCTGACCTTGCAGTTCAAACCAACTTTACATTAACCCACAGCACCACTAAGATAAAATTAGTCTATAAATGCCAGTACTATTAATGAAAATTAGTGCAGGAAAAAGGATGAAATATATTAAAACTTTATTATAGTAAAATACCACTTTATTGTCTTAAAAGTATTACATTAAAAGGCTAATTAAATTATGTGATAATTTAAAAGGAACCTCTTGTATTTGAAGAAGGAGCTCTGGTAGCGTAGTGGTTACGAATCAGGCTGCGAACAGCAAGGTCAGCAGTTTGAAACTACCAGCTGCTCTGAGGGAGAAAGATGAGGCTTTTTACTCCTGTAAAGATTTACAGCCTCGGAAACCCTGTACAGGGTTGCTATGAGTCGGTTCCAACTCCACGGCACATAACCACTATCAGTATTTGAAATGCAATTTAAGAAAGAAAGATCCTCTTTTTCACAGATTGAGACTTTCCAGATTACCTATTTCATGTTCTCATTTTGCAGATTATCGAACTAAATCTCAGAGAAACAAAATAAGTGGCTTTAGCATCCCTGTTTAGCCAGTGTTTGAGCCAAGAATTAACTTAGGTGGTCTGTTTCCAAGGTCAGTGCTTTCAGCCTATACTAAGGTTGTTGTTGTTAGGTGCCATCGAGTCGTCACCGACTCATAGCGACCCTATGTACAACAGAACTAAACACTGCCTGGTGCTGGGCCAACTTCACAATTGTTGCCATGCTTGAGACCATTGATGCTGCCACTTTGCCAATCCATCTCACTGGAGGTCTTCCTCTTTTACTCTGACCCTCCACCTTACCAAACATGGTATCTTTCTCCAGAGACTGATCCTTCCTGACAATATGTCTGAAGTGTGAGAGACAAAGTGTGGCCATCATGGCCTCCAAAGAGCACTCTGGCTATACTTCCTCCTGCACAGATCTGTTGGTTCATTTGGCAGCCTATGGCACTTTCAATATTCTCCAACACCAAAACTCAAAAGCATCAATTTTTCTACGATCTTCATTTTTCACTGTCCAGCTTTTGCATGCATATGAGGTTATTAAAAATATCATGGTTTGGATTAGAGTCACTTTAGTCCTCAAGCTGATATCTTTGATCTTCAACACTTTAAAAAGATCTTGTGCAGCAGATTTGCCTAATGCAGTACGCCATTTGATCTCTTGACTGCTGCTTCCATGAGTGTTGATAGTTGATCCAGGAAGAAAAAAGTTCCTGACAACTTCAATCTTTTTTTCCGTTGATAAGAATGTTGTTTATTGGTCCAGTGGTGAGGATTTTTGTTTTGTTTACATTGAGATGCAATCCATACTGAAGACTGTGGTCTTTGAAGATTTCTTCATCAGTAGATATTTTAAGTCCTCTTCACTTTCAGCAAGCAAGGTTGTATCATCTGCATATCACAGGTTCTTAATGAGTCTTCCTCCAATCCTGATGCCATGTTTTTCTTCAGAGAACCCACCTTCTCGGATTATTTGCTCAGCATATAGGTTGAATAAGTATGGTGAAAGAATACAACCTTCTTAATTTTAAACCATTCAGTGTTCCCATGTTCTGTTTGAACAATTGCCTTTTGGTCCATGTACAGATTCCTCACATGAGCACAATTAAGTGTTCAGGAATACTCATACTTTGCAATGCTGTCCATAGCTTGTCATGATCCACACAATCGAAAGCCTTTGCATAGTAAATAAAGCACAGGTAAACATCTTTCTGATATTCTCTGCTTTCAGCCAAGGTCCATCGGACATCAGTAATGATATCCCTCATTCCACAGCCTCTTCTGAATCTGGCTTGAACCTCTGGAAGTTCTCTTTCAATGTATGCTTGTAGCCGTTTCTGTATTACCTTTAGTAAAACTTTATTCGCATGGGATATCAAAAAGATTGTCCAATGATTTCCGCATTCTGTTGGGTCACCTCTCTTTGGAATGGGCACAAATATGGATCTCTTCCAATCAGTCGACCACTTAGTTATCTCCCAAATTTCTTAGCAGAGATGAGTGAGTGCCTCCAGTGCTGCCTCTCTTTCTTGAAAGATTTCAATTTTGATTCCATCAATTCCTGGAGCCTTTTCTTTGCCATTTCCTTCAATGCACCTTGGACGTCTTCCTTCAGTATCATTGACTCTTGATCATATGCTACCTCTTGAAACGGTTGAACATCGACCATTTCTTTTGGTACAGTGACTCTGTGTATTCCTTCGATCTTCTTTTGATGCTTTTTGCATCATTCAATAATATGCCCAGAGAATCCTTCAATAACGAAAGTCGAGGCTTGAATTTTTTCTTCAGTTCCCCCAGCTTGAGAAATGCTGAGCGTGTTCTTCCTTTTTGGTTTTCTGACTCCAGATCATTGCACAATTTGTTGTAATATTTCACTTTGTCTTCTGAAAGTGACCTTTGAAATTTTCTGTTCAGCTCTTGTATCTCCTCATGTCTTCTATTTGTTAATACCAAGGTAGCTCGGTTAAATAGCTTCTCCTTTAGGCAACATCTTTAATGGACTGGAAAAGGCAGGATTAGTAGACCTTTGCCCTCAGGGATGACAGATACCCCTAGTCATCTCAGACTCTGTATTTGGTTATGATTTTTCTTCTGAGTTCAGAAGGATGTCCATATATCTTTTAGATATATTAGTAATGTTCCAAGGCCTGCTTTTAGAATTTTGTGGCTTTATGACTTTGCAACAGCAATCTCAGATCCTTAACTGTAGTCAGTGGTTATGATGATAGTTATCCCTAAAAAGTTTTAGTAATAGCCTCAGAGCCATTTTTAATTTATTTAAATGTTTTATTGTGAATAATGTGATAGTTTACATGGGAGAACATTAGTTTTACATTCATCCTATCATATATTTTTTCATTGCCATAGTTACAATCCCCTCCATGCATCATCAACCAACCAAAGGGTACATCCTACAAGTCTGCTCCCTCCCCCAGCCCTTCCCCGCGGTCAGTCGTTAGCACACATCCCCTCTACCTGTCTCACTCTAGAGTCCCCAGCTGCTCCATCTCTCCACATCATCATCTCTGCCTCCATCTCAGGCATCACTGCTTCTCTGGGTAGGGTCCTGTTCTCCACTCTTCTCCCTTCATGGTCCCAGGGAGCTCCGCTCCTAGACTGCAAAGTTAATCAGTCCCCTCTTTGCCACAAAATGTCTATCTTTACATTTACAACCCTCACAATCAGTCCTGATAACAATTACTCACTATTGTATCACAAGAAACCTATCCGCATTTCCTTTCATCTGTCTAGTTCTGCCTAGACAGATTGTATACTACCCAGTGGAGATTCTGCCTTTCTCCATGCCCTCTGGATCTAGGTTATCTCTTGAAATCTTGTAAACCAGTCTCTTCTTGCCTTTGTATCACCCCCATTTTGAATAGCCAATGTCCATGTAGCCCATCCCTGTCTATTCATTGTATGGAGGGGATGGGTATGATCCTTGCTGTAAAGATTTGTTCCCGCTTTTGAGCTACTGCATCGATAGGTGAAGGTCCAGTTCATCAAATTGTATCAGATTACTCTTTTTTTCCCTCTTCATTCTTCTAATAGTTGCGCTCTGATCATCCAGTCATTGAAGTTAGATCAAGTGGATATTATCTGCAAGTGTGGGTGTTCTTGTGCATATGCTGTCTCTTCTTATCAGCTGGACGCTTCACTCTACACTCCAGTCCTCCATGGCTATGTCATTGACTCTGGGTCCAAGAGTCCCCAGGTCTTGCCACACTGCTGGCCAACTAGGTCTCCACCTGGATTCACAG